CCCGAGTAGTTGGGATTACAGGTGCATGCTGCCACGCCTGCTTATTTTTTTTTTTATTTTTTTTTATTTTTGTATTTTGGCAGAGATGGGGTTTCACTGTGTTGGCCAGGCTGGTCTCCAACTCCTGAGCCCAGGCAGTCCACCTACCTCTGCCTCCCAAAGTGCTGGGATTATAGGCGTGAGTTACCACGCCCAGCCTGTTGCACATTCCTAAGACTTCTCCTGATCAGCAGCGGCCCTCCACACTGTGTGATCCTGAGTATTTTAACTCAGCGGTTAAAACACGAATACTCTTTTCAGTTGTGTATTTTATTTTACAGATTGGATCCTTATTAATTAAAACCTATTTCTCTGGCCTCTGTGTTTTCTAGTTGCTCAATTGGATTTGGCTTGTAAATATTTTATTGAAATATATTTTCTTCTGAATAGTTTATTTATCCATTGGTTTTATGCATTCAAGTAGATTTTGTTTGACTTTTCCTGTGTATAATTAGGCATTCTTTTAGTCCCTTTCCTCAGAAGTCATTTTGGAAAACGGCAAATTGTCAGAAGGAGTAACAATAAGTTACAAATCTTACTGCAAGAACGGGGTGAATGGAACAGGGGAAAATGGAAGAAAATGTTCCAATATTTCCATTGGAGATGAGGTATGTTGTATTTCCATTGGAGATGAGGTATGTTGTATAATATAATGTATGAGGTATATATTTTCTGTAGAAAACATTGGTTATTTATAAGGAAAGTTAGTTTGTACTTTGAGAAACATTAAAATAAGTGAGCAACTTTTTGAAATATTTTTTAGTAGATTTAAATTTCTTAGTTGTTAATCTTTTTTTTCCCTTCAAGGTTCAATTTGAAATTAGCATAACTTCAAATAAGTGTCCAAAAAAGGATTCTGACAGCTTTAAAATTAGGCCTCTGGGCTTTACGGAGGAAGTAGAGGTTATTCTTCAGTACATCTGTGAATGTGAATGCCAAAGCGAAGGCATCCCTGAAAGTCCCAAGTGTCATGAAGGAAATGGGACGTTTGAGTGTGGCGCGTGCAGGTAAGCTGGGCATTGTCAGACAGTGACATAGCTACATTGGTTTAGAGAGTACAGGCAGGTCATATTTTGGGACATCCAGAGAATATCTCTCTATTTGGAGCAAATATTTTTTCCAACCACGGTTGCTCACCACAAGATCAGTTTGATGATCTTGTGTGTGATATTTATATAAAGTTCCTTCCTGCCTTTTTTTCTTAAAGTGATTACTCTTTAAAATAAAAGATTTTATAGCCATGAAAGAAGTATATTCAACAAGTTGTCAAGGTAGTGTTTCTCTCATGTGAGAGCAATCTGAATTTATTAGAACAAAATAAGCTTATGTAAAATATGTTTATAGAAAAATAAAAACATCAAACCGGTGATGGTGATTTTGTTGGGGAAATGGAATTATGAAGCAATAGAAGATGTTTGTCTTGTACTACATGTACTTCTGCATTGTTGGAATTTTAAAAAAAATAAATATGTGTTGTAAAATAAAAAAGAGAAAATGGTATTTTCAGCATGTAGTGTCTAATACTAAGAAAACTAACAAAATTACTTCAGATTTTATTTTCACACTGTGGTTATTTTTTGTAATTGAAAATTAAAAACTGAGTACACTTTGAATACAGCTTTCTCCGTAAAAGAATAGGAAGAGGGGAGAGTGTTGAATCCAGTGTTAACCCCAAATGACTAGGCTTAGAAGGCTGTTGACCGTGAAAGAAATACATGGCTGTAACTCACTATCAGTTTTTAATTGTCTGTGCTAAGTAATAATTTAAATGTTAGAATTTTTTTTATCTTCCATGTTGTACATATCCTGTTTTAATCATGCAGGCCCATTTTTAGTAAATGTCATTTAACCAAAAAGATTATCTTGAAAATACTTTGCCTTTCTTTCCTTTATATTTTTACCAGATACAGAATCAGTGCAGTCAGTGTCCGTGAGCATTATGTGTTCTAAAAATACGCAGGGAACCTGAAAAGTCTGCACCTGTAGGATAAATTTGTTTTTAAATAGTATACTAGTTATATTTTTAAGTGGTATGCACGGTATGTTTTTCTTCAACTTCCATACACTTTTTTGCATGTGTAATTGTATTTTTTTAGGCTAACAGACCATTGCTTTAAATTTAGACAGTTCATCTGGAATAGTAAATGTAATAGCATATACTATTTGAAAATGTAACTAATGTACTCTTTAAGTTTATTCTGCCTTTCCACGTGTCATTCACTATTTATTGCTAGATTACATTTTCATCTTGACCAAAATGGTTACTTTCCTGAATAAATTTTTTTCCTAGACTCTTGCACATATTCCGTATGAGCTCAAGTTCATATGGAACTGAAATGTACATGTGTGCCTGTGTATATTTGTCCATGCTGGCACATGTGTGTACACTTTACTACATGTCTGTGACATGTGGCATGGACACTCCCACCTAATAGATTGGTAGCTTGAAGAGATTTTTTATAGTTTTATTTCCTTTCCCAGTTTTTCTCTTTTAAATTATTTTCCCCTCCAAGATTATTCTTCTTCTTCTTCTTCTTTTTTTTTTTATTATACTTTAAGTTCTAGGGTACATGTGCACAACTTGCAGGTTTGTTACATGTGTATACATATGCCATGTTGGTGTGCTGTACCCGTTAACTTGTCATTTACATTAGGTATATCTCCTAATGCTATCCCTCCCTCCGCCCCCCTCCCCACCACAGGCCCTGGTGTGTGATGTTCCCCAGCCCGTGTCCAAGTGTTCTCACTGTTCAATTCCCACCTATGAGTGAGAACATGTGGTGTTTGGTTTTCTGTTCTTGCGATAATAGTTTGCTGAGAATGATGGTTTCCAGCTGCATCCATGTCCCTACAGAGGACATGAACTCATCCTTTTTTATGGCTGCATAGTGTTCTATGGTGTAAATGTGCCACATTTTCTTAATGCAGTCTGTCATTGATGGTCATTTGGGTTGGTTCCAAGTCTTTGCTATTGTGAATAGTGCCGCAATAAACATACATGTGCATGTGTCTTTATAGCAGCATGATTTATAATCCTTTGGGTATATACCCAGTAATGGGATGGCTGAGTCAAATGGTATTT